CTGTCCTTTGGCACTTGGTCTAGCTATTCAAAACCACAAAAACGGACCATGAGTGAAAGAGAAATGAAGTTACCTTTCACTTGATTTCAACAAATAAAACAATGAAGTTGGAGATGAAGAATTCTGATAACTGTGGAAGACAAACACATTGGGAATTCATTACCATAGAGAAATTTGTCTCTTGAGTTAATGCTAGAGAAAATGGCCATGATGACTTTTTCAATTAAACAGACTCCACCTAGATATGGAGTCCTGGTGTGGTACTATAGGATAAGCCCTGGACTACAAGGTCAGCAGTTCAGATTCACCAGCCGCTCCTTGGAAACCCTATACAGGGTTGCTATGAGTCAGAACTGACTTGAAGGCACTTAACAGAAAGTCATTGTGTGTTCTTTTATAAATGGACAGATGCCTTTTCCGCCAGATAAATCTAAGCCTCCTAGCTTTGTTGTTGATAAGTGCCAGTGAGTCGGTTCCACCTCATAGTGACCCTGTGTCGGGTTTCCAAGGAGCAGCTAGTGGTTTTGAACTGCTGACCTTGTGGTTCACAGTCCAGTGCTGATTGTACAGTGCCATACAGGATTATAATACCTAATATTTATTAATCCTTCAAATATCAAATTTTGTTGTTGTTCTGCTGTTGTCATGTGCCATCAAATTAGTTCTGACTCATAGCAATCCTATGCACAACAGAATGGAACACTGCCTAATCCTGTGCCATTCTCATAATCGTTATTCTTGTGTCTACTGCAGCTGCCACTGTACCAAACCATCTCATTGGTGGTCTTCCTCTTTTGTGCTTACCCTCCACTTTACCAAGCATGATGTCCTTCTGTAAGGACCAGTCAGTCCCTCCTGAAAACATGTCTGAAGTATGAGAGGCAAAGTCTAGCCATCTTCACTTCTAAAGAGCATTCTGGCTGAACTTTCTCCAGCACAGATTTGTTTATTCTTCTGACAATACATGCTACTTTTCATATTCTTCACCAATGCCATAACTCATATACACCAACGTTTCTACGAAGCTTTAAGTTCTGCAGTATTGGGAAGGATTATAGTGAATCTTAGGGACAGGGAATGTAAAGAACCTGAAATGTAACAGAAACTCAGTAAATAAAACATTATTAGTTTTAGTGTCAAATTTTAGGATGCCAAGGGTCTCTTAACCATTGTCCTCCTAGATCCCATGAAAGTGTATTGAATAGTTGTTGACTGACTGACAAATAGTTGTATTTTACAAAATTCTTAGTTGCCAGAAAATATTTTGATTCAATTTTTAACTGCTAGCTTAAAACCAATTCTTAGAAGATGCATTTGTTAAAGCCAAGAATACTCTTCTTTTGAAGTCAGAATGAGATTCTAAATTGCTCTTTTATACGTTAGTTTCTGAAAAATCAGACCTTTAAATTGGCACAGAAAAATGTTAGAAGGAAATTCATTCCTTTACCCAACATTTATTGAGCCTCTATGGCACACAAGACATAAAATAAAAGACTACCATTAAGTTTTTGCTGTTAAGCACCATTGAGTCAGTGCTAACTCACAATGAACCTGCATAGGGTTTCCCAGGAGTGACTGGTGAATCTGAACCAGCAATCTTGAGGTTAGGTGCTTATCCTATGGTGCCACAAGTTAACGGATATTAAATATGTAACCAAACAGATAAACAGGTTGACAATTGAGATAAGTGCTATGGAAGAAAAGAGAGTGGTGAAAACTTGAAGTTGTAGGAAATGTAGGTCTATGAATCCCAAAAGATGAGAAGAACTTTAACTGGCAAGGAATAGAAGGAAATACTTGGGATGTTCAAGAAACAGTAGGTCAGTGTGAAGGCAGCAGGAGGAAGGTATGTCTAAGATAAGACTGACTGAGTACCCAAGGCTTTGGGAGTCTCTGTGTGTGGATGTCTTTTGATAATACCTGTTGTGGATAAAGCACTAGAGGAGTCAAAAAAGGAACCAGGGAGTCTTGTTAGGAAGTTATACTAGTGGTCCAAGTGAAAGGATGACTTAAAGTTTGATGGTGGTGGTGGTGGAGATGCAAAGAAAGCTCAATTAAGCTACATTCAGAAAACAGAATTTACGGGACTGTGTGATGGTTCTGAATGTAGAAGATTATGGGAATGGAAGTGTGAAGATGATTCTCAGGTTGCTGGGCAAAACCACTCCATGGGTCCATGCCATTTATATGGATAAGAAAAACTAGAATGGTATTAGGTTTGGGATATTTTTATTGCTATTGTTATTTTAGTTATTGTATTTATATTTTTGCTTAATTGTTTTGTATTGTATTAGTAGGGAAACAAAAGGATAGAAAGCGTTACTAAGACATCAGTTTGGAACAGGTATATTGCACACACGATCCAGGTCTAGATTGTCTGGGTTTCCTGATAAAATGACATTTATGTAAGTGAACCCACCCTGGTTCCAATTCACAGTGATCCTGTACAGGGTCTCCGAGGCTGTACATCTTTAGGGGAGCAGGAAGACTTAGCTTTCTCCCAAGGAGTAGCTGGTGGGTTTGAACTGCTAACACTGAAGTTGGCAATGCGGTGCTCATCTTACCCATCAGGGCTCCTTGTAAGTGAGGTACCTGTAAATGCTGTTTTTCCTTTACGATACTATCCATACATCAAGCCTCAAACAGGTTAGTGGTATCAAACTACCTTTACGATCTTTTATGATTTCATCTACTCTATTTTAGCTTCTGCTCTTAGACCGACATAATATTTTATTGCCATTAAAAACAGTTCAGAGGGATGTTGGAAAGATTAAATGAGATCACATATTTGAACCTAACTAGAAGGTGGGACACAGTATGGGTTCAATAAGCATTTACTTCCTTTCCCCTTATGATGCTCATCACTGTTTTCCAGGTGGTTGACTCATAGTGAAAGGAGCTCTGGTAGCATAGTGGTTACGAATCGGGCTGCTAATCTCACGGTCAGCTGTTCGAAACTACCAGCTGTTCTGCAGGAGAAAGATGAGGCATTCTGCTCCCGTAAAGATTTACAGCCTTGGAAACCCTGTACAGGGTCAGTATGAGCCAGAACTGACTCCACGGCACATAACTACAACATCATCTCAAAGTGTGGCATCATCCCCACACCTACCCATTTAGGTAGGTAGTCCTATCCCCAGGCCTGTTTTATAAGTTGAGGGAAATGAGGCTTGGGAAAGCTAAATAGTATGTCCCAAATTATAGAGTTAAGCTTGGAGGAGACAGAGTTCAAACTCAGCTGTTTCATCAAGATGAGCCCATATTCTAGAATAACCACTTCTCACAAGAGAAGCAAACGTGTTTTCAATGCTTGCCATTAAAACTCACAATCAATCACCAATGTAACAAGTTGCAGGGCTAAAGCACAATTTATCTCTATCCCTTCGCAAAGGAACACATAACTTACATTCTCAAGACCAGTGTTATCAATGAACTTACCATCAACTTCTACTGCTCCCATTAGCAATGCTTCTTCATTGCAGATAAGTAACCCAAGTCAAGGTATTATTATTAGATCTGACACTTATGGCTTTAATCTACTTAAATGCATTTTCCTCAAGCATTCCCCATTTCATTTTGATGAAACTGACTCATTCTTGCCACCTAAGGAGACTGTAAAAATAAATAGTATCAAGGCAGAATATGAAAGTCTCTAACTTTCATATTCACAGATGTCCATCCTTCATTTTATGAAGAAAAACAAATTAAAAGCATGTTCTAAATTTACCTTCCCTTGCTAACCTATAAATATCAGAACATTTAGGATCATGCCGATTCCCTTCATGGGATATGCAAATATGAGGCGGTGGAGTTGCTATTATAGAGAGTCGGTTTCATAGAGTTCTAGTTTAGGAGGTGCATTTAAAGCACACCTGGTTCTTCTAGAGTGAATATCCCTATGCTACCAACCCAAAGAAGAGACAGGGAGGTACAGAGAGGTTCTGTGAACAGTTTAAGACCCTATGGTTACTTCCTTGTTGCATCCCCAATGAATGTCAAGTTTCCTGGTTCCCCCGCAAAGTGTATTTAGCCTTGCAAACCGTCATCAACTATTAACAATGACACTTTCATCTGGCTTAATGCCAACTTCTTTTCCTTTTTATTGCCCTGGCCTTGAAACATCTACAACAGATAGCACCAATGCTTCGAATGCCCTTAACTGATATTTAAGGATGAGGCATTATTAACTCACTTCTTATGTTTAAAGCTCCATCTAAACACACATTTCTAGAGAGGTGATAACGCTTGTCCTCCAAATCGGGCATGATGATATCTGGACTTCACAAGTTTACCCTCTAGGAAGCTCAACATCGCACACAATTTTGACAAGAGTTTGGAACTGAGATTCTCTTCCACGCTCTGTCCACACCCATGCCCACAAGCAGAAGTTCTCTCCATTACAACCCAACACACACACACAGAGACACACACACACACAAATACTGAGGCAAGTAACAAAGGAAAACACAGACCTAGATAGGCTCAGCTATTGCATCTGCTAGTCCACACCTGCCAGGAGACAAAAACCATACGGGAACCATGCCCTGGCAATATGTCCAACACTCCTCAGAAGAAGGAGGAATCCGGTACCCCTCGGGCGTGCGCGGCTGTATACACAAAGAACTGGTGCTGGGCTTGCTAGCGGTCCGGGCTACCAGTGCGCTCCCTGGGCTGCTCCCCGGACTGCAATCCGGGCTTCTTCCCCACGCCCTCTCCTAGGCAGAAATGAACTATCCTTTATTTGACCCATTGGAAGCCCAGGCTGGATAGTAGCGCTTGGGGGTGGGGGGACGTTCCCTGGATCCCTTCCCTCCACGCAGCCGGTCCCCAGCCTTTGGCATCTCCTAGGAGATGCACAATCGTGCGCTGTCACAGATGTCCGCTTCTCATCCTCTCCCGGGAAAGCATGATGCCCCTAGTCCCAGCCGCGCGCACCTCCACAAGAGCCCCTCCCGGTGTCGATGTCCATCCAGGAAGCGCCGCCAGACGCGCCTGCCTACCTGGTGGCTGGCTGTCAACGAAGCGCAGTGGTTCATCCCTTTCTTCTTCTCGACTGCTACAGCGCTCCGAGCGCCATGTTCCCGGTCTCCCTGGGCGCACGCTGGGGAACTACTACGGCTGGGCAGGGGCAAGAGGGGCGGGAGCCAGAGAGAAGAGGGTGGGAGATAGAGCCAAAGCTTTCTACTCTCCACCCAAGCCTCCCCCTGCTACTGAGCATGCCCAGCTGCCCAGCTTCGCCCCTAGGAGGACTTTCCTTGAGTGCACGCCGCGGCTCCGGGTTTTAGTAGCAGCCGGCGGGAGGCGAGCTGTAGCAGCTGCTGGGAGGGATGAAGGGGAGGGTCGGGGGGCGTGTCTACTCGCCGCTGTAGCTGTTAGCTGGAGAACGCAGCCTTTCGCCAACCAAGCTTACCTTCTGTCTTCCCAAGTGGGGGCAGCTAATGCAAGCGCCCTCTCCGCACACTCCCGGTTTGCCGAAATATTGTGCAGGATCACTGCAGGCTAGAGCTTCGCTTACGAAGGCAGCAAAAGGGCAAGGAGGGGGAGCTGATGAGCTCTTAGTCAAGCCCCCACCACCGGGACCAGCGCTTCTCAAACTTTAATGTGCCTATCAGTTAAATGCAGAATCTGATTCAGTTGTTCTAGGGCGGGAACTGAGATTCTGCATGCCAAACAAGCTCCAAGTGGTGTTGATGATGCTGGTCCTCCTACCACACTCAGTAGAAAAGACCAAGACCTACAGCTGTGGCCTCTACCAGCCATCCCAGAAATGGTCTCTGGCAGCCACATGCCTCCTACCTATAGATGACTTGGTAACTCAATAAGTGAAGTTGCGCATGGGACTGCTGTGTCCTCTTAATTTGGTATCTGACCACTTGGTACTGACTGGTTTACAAAATGAGATTTTAAACAGCTTGCCTTTCACTTTGCTAATTAGCCACCACCTGACTTGCTCCTCTTAAGTCTGAACCATCCTGCCCTGGCTAGCCCTTTGCTTTCCCTGAGCTGAGACTAAAACCAAGGCTGGATCGCAAAGTTTCAATCTATTGTACATATAATGATTAGACCGGGCTTGCCCAATTAACAGCAGGGCAGTTTTGCACCAAGAAATGACAGGTCTTTCTGTTGCATTGTGTTTGTTGATATCTTGTGATTCTACTTAAATCCCCCCTTGCCTATTCCCCTCCCAGCTCTCAAAGGCTCCAGCATCGTCAAAAATATTCCCTGCCTACATTGTAGTGAGAGAAAGATGCTTCATAAAACCAGGCATACGTTTTCAAACTTGGAGAACAAACGCAAGAAATTAAAGAAGTCATACCATCTTCTGTACTCAGTTGCCTCAGCAATACCCTTATGAGCTAGTGTATATGGTATTATGTGAGCCCATAACTAGATAACAGATTACAAAATAAGGATTTGTATCAATCAGTGCCTTGTGTCTACTCAATAACTGTAGACAGTTTCCTAGGCAAGGTTCAAGAGTCATCATTTCTCTTTGTTCATTTTCCATCCACCCAATACTCTCAAGCAGTAGCTTTTGTATTAGAACAGGAACCTCAGTGAGTTAAATGGTTGATGACTTTTCTATCTCAATATTTCTATGTATGGTGCTCCTTAGAGGCCAAGATGGCCAAACTTCGTCTCTCATACTTTGGACATATTGTCAGGAGGGAACAGTCACTGGATCATGTTTGGTAAGATGGAGGGTCAGAGAAAAAAAGGAAGACCCCCAACGAGATGGATTGGCCAGGTGGTAACATCGATGGACTCAAGTGTGGCAACAGTAGTGAGGTTGGCCCAGGATTGGACATTTTTTTGTTCTGCTGTACATAAGGTCGCTATGAGTCGGTGCTGACTCGATGGCACCTAACAACAACAACAACCATACTCTCATGACATACCAAAGAAACAGGAGTCTCAAAAATCTTCTTTTCACTCTCTAAGCTGTACACATGGCCCAAATTCACTATCATATGCATAAGCATTTTCTATTTTCTTTAATCTTCCTATATGTATGAAAGCACAAATGCAAAAAAAAAAACTGTATAGACCTATTGATTGATTGATTGGTATCTTAATTAAGATTTTACTTTGAAATACTGTACTTTGATCATTTAAAATGTCTTTCCTGTTATACATAAAGCTTGTGTTCAAGCAGTTATTTCTATAAGCTGAATACTAGGATTGTTGTTGTCATTCCTGCCATCTTCGTTTGATGCTTCCTGCATTATTCAGTATTTTCCCATGTGAATTTGTGGTTGCTGGTAGGTGTTGTTGAGTCTGTTCCAACACTTATACCAACCTTATATACAACAGAATGAAACACTGCCCGCTCTGGCACCATCCTCAGAATCCCTGCTATACTTGAGCCCATTAGTGCCTCCATTGTGCCAATCCATCTTGTTGGGGTCTCCCTCTTTTTCATTTTCCCTCCACTTTATTAAGTATGATATCCTCCTCTACGGACTGGTGCCTTCTGATAACAAGTCCAATTTGTGGTTGGCTGCCTCAAATTCATTTTGAAGCTTTGCAAGGTGAAAATAATAAATTATTAATAATAATATTTATACAGAGTTCTGGTGTGGTGATGTAGAATAAGCATTGGATTACTAACAGCAAGGTCAGCAGTTCAGACCCACCAACTTCTTTTTGAAAACCTTATACAGGGTCGATATGAGGCAGAACTGACTCAACAGTACTAATGCACTGGAGGACAAAGTCACTTTGAACCGTAAGCTTGGTGTACAAGCTCACCGGCTGCTCCTCAGAAACCCTATACAGGGTTGCTATGAGTTGGAACTAACTCAATGGCACTTAACAACAACATATAAATTCTGCATTGCAATAAGTACCAAAGGGTTCCTTTTTATATAATACCTTTTCCTGATAAGTATATGAAACTTGCCACAAAGCAGAGTATTTAAAATAGGCAGAAAACGTAGGATCCCTACCTTTGGTCTGTCTTTCAACACACTGCATGAACCCAAAAGATTAACATTCCCTTCTTTTATATTAGTTTTATAATTTTGCAAGTTGAGTTCCCCATGATGCTGACTCTGAGATAGTTTAGCATGCAGGATGTTGATTAGGAGTACCCTTGGACCCAACATCTATAAGTAACAGAGGAAGGAAACAAGTGGGCAGAGGGAGAAGTCAAACTGTAAACAGACCAATGGCAGACTTGATCTACCTCAAAGGATGTTCTGGAGTGAGAATGGCCCTCAGTGTTGCCCCAAGTCAGGCTGAGATGATCAGACCTTTATGTCCCCACATGACTCATTAAGTGTGGACTTCACCTGGAAGAGACTTGAAATTGAGACAAGATAGCACTCTGAAGCAGAAGCAGTCAGACTCTACTGATTTTATAAAATAAAATAAAAATTTAACCACATTTTTAAATAAACAATAGCCTTTCTACCCAATTCAAAGGTCTATAATCAGTAATTGGAAATATTTTATCTTGTTATTTAGGTGTCTGGCTATATGTATTTTTTCCCTGACATTGTGTGATTAACTATGATCTATTGAACAGGTATATATTCATTTTTTGCTGTTTAGATGTATTCTTTCTTTTTTATACGAATCGGGCTGCGAACCTTAAGGTCAGAGGTTCGAAACTACCAGTCGCTCCACGGGAGAAAGATGAGGCTTTCTACTCCCGTAAAGATTTACACCCTTGGAAACCCTGTACAAGGTCGCTATGGGTCGGAACCGACTCGACGGCACTTAACAACAACAACAACGATTAAAATTAGAAAGTGTTAGGTCATTAAATACTATATTGTATATAGAAGTGCATGTTTTTCAATAAAACAGAGCAACCCACTGGTCAATATTTCATGAAAAACTCATAGAATCTCTTCTGAACACAGAATAGATAGGGATGGGCAACTTAGACATTGGCTACCTAAAATGAGGGGTGATAAAGGCATGAAGTGACTGGCTTACAAGGTTTCAAGGGAGAGTTTAGTTTAATAGTGTGTGGGGGAAGAAAGAGTCCCCACTGAAAAGTTTTCATCTTGTCTAGATGAGTCTGGTAAAAAGAGATAGGGATAAGATTCTTATGATTCAATAGTGAGTAATTGTTATCATGACTAATTATGACTGTCACTATTGTAAAGGTAGAAGTTTTGTAACAAAAATGGGAGAGTAGTTAATCTTACAGTCCAGAAACAAAGGACCATCAAGGGAAAAGAACACACGGAGAATGCAAGACTTTATCCAGAGGAGCAGTGACACCAGAGATGGAGACAGAGATGGGGACATGGAGAGAGGGAGCAGTTGAGAACTCTAGATTCACGGGAAGAGAGGGACTAAGAGATGGCAGACAGAAGGCAGACTTGCAGAATGTGCCCTTTGGCGGTGTAAATTATTATAAATGCCTGAGTGTTTAAAAAAGAAAAATGAGCTGAAGTGAA